GTCTTAATTCCTGGCAAAGTCATTCTATAAGGGGCGAGGGGTGGGAGGTGGGGGAAGCCAGGTGGTGGGTATTATGGAGAGCACGCATTGCATGGAGCACTAGGTGTGGTGCAAAAACAATGAATTTTGTTACACTGAAAAGAAATTAAAAAAAAAAAATTAAAAAAAAAAAGTCATTCTAGAACCTGGGGCGTGGGATTAGTCTGGGATCCTTAAAATCATTTGCCATAGATAACGGTTGTTTGGTAGGTAGGCAGAGCCAAGTGTAGACTAGAGCTTGAGAACCTGGAAGACTCCAATGACTTTCTATCAGGGAAACAACATAAAGTTTTATTTCTGGACCTTTCTCTTAACATTAAGTTGTCTGCTCAATATCTTATAATAGCTTGTCAATCTTAGAATGATCAATCCATGCAAATATGGAAGAGCTTTAGTGCAGACTTTATTTAGATTAGTTAAAATGCTATTGAGTTCTGAAAATAGTAAAACAAAATTTTTCAAAAGTAGGGAGAAAATAATTATTTTTTCTCCTAAGCACACAGAGTAAGTCATGTTTTAAGAGCACCTAATATGACTCTGAATATTTAAAAATTAATTAATAATATCGACTTTTTAACAATATTTTACCAAAGCGTTAATGCCTATCAAACATAATTTGGCATCTAAAGGTTGAGATCAATATAGCAACATATTTGGAGGAATCCTAGACCTCTTAGCTAAAATTACTAATTTAACAAATTACAGACAGAGCCACTGACGAAAAGAAATTGGTGATTTATCTTCCCCAATGAGAAAAGCAGGATTGAAGTAATTGTCACTGTTTTTCTTATTCATACAAATATAAACTACAAAATCACATTTTTAGAAGTTGAAGATTTTCCTGCTTTAAGAATGTGGACCATAAACTTGAATGCACCATAAAAGTAAAATACGAGCATATCAGTACATATTAGCTTTGATTCTACCTGCCATCAAGTAATTTAGGATGCCTCTTCAGTTCCCTCAATTTAATTAAGGGCTTCCAACTACAAGAGTAAACATGAACTATAGCTTTGTTTTTCTTTATTTGAATTCCAAGAGTGCATTTTTAAAAGAGTGGCATTCTGTAAGAGAGCGTAAGTGATTAGTGAGGTCTAAATTTATTTGCAACTAGCTTGAGTATCCTGACAATAAGCCATTATTCTATTGTAATTCTTTGAAGGATAAATTCCAGGAAGTGTAGGGAGAGACAGGAAAACTTAATACTAATGTCACTCTAAGAGGAGCTGTATGAAATTTTTCCTGGTTTTGAGGATCAAAAACTCAGATTTTAAAATATTTTTGTTGATGCAGACTCGGTTGGGTGGGGTCAGGGTTTTATCAGTCAAGGTTTCATTTGCACGTTAATTTGGAAATTATATCCCCTTCTTAAGGCTTAAGACGTTAGCAGAACTTTAATTAGGAAGGTAGGGTTTCTAAGATGCCTTAGCTAATTGGCTTGCAATAACGTGAGCTAAAGTTAAATTACATATTTACCGTCATTTATGGGTTAGCCAAATAGAATGGGAAACAGATGAAGTTTGCCCTCCACGGCCCATGTCTCTTAGAGGTTATCAATTCACCTTAATCAGTCAAGTAGCTTGTAACAATTCGTTATTCCAGTAAGGGTTCTAGAAATGATTCAGGTGCTTTGTTCATCCCATTCATTTAACAGGAAACACCTAAAACCTCGTTAAGCGCGAAGGGGTGATGACAATAATCTATCCAAACTAGTTCAAAGTCACTGGCTGTCATTCCTTTATTTTATCTCCATGACTTTCTCTGGTGAGATAACATATATCAGACTCAATTTAACTGCAATTATCTTTCTCACGAGGAAGCTTCAATGGCAAAAAAAAAAAAAAAAAAATGCAATGACATACTTTTCCCTTAATTACTGTCACTGCCATTCTCTTCATTTAAGGTCTGACTCCTGTGTAAAGTTCTTGTTGACTTACCTGTTTGTGTACATCGTGGTGCGGGGTTTCTTTTCAGAAACCTCACTTTAGTTTGAACACGAAGTTCAAATAGTTAATATCACACTTTGAAACTTGATCCAAGATGATGACTGCTAGATTTAGTAATTAAGGATATAGGAGGCTCAATTAAGTTTCAAGTATTTCTAGTTGCCTGTATGTATGTACCTTGAGATGCATATGTACACTGAGATGGGAACTCTTTGCAACATTTTCCTTTATCTCATATTTAGCGGCAATTAGAAATGACTGAAATTTTAGTGGGCCTTCTGTATTTTGAGTTGCTAAATTTGGCAGTTTTATCCAAAATGAAAGCTCTTTAGGACGTGCAATTTAAGAGAACACACGGCTTTCTGTCTGAGGCTTATACCGGCTGCACCTTTGACGCACATGACCATGTCTTAGCAGAGAGTAGAAACGGTGAAGGGACAACCGTTTCTCCTCAGTTAACCATTCTGACTCTCTCTTAATTTCCTGGCACTCTGTCTCTTCAAAAAACACCATCTTATGCCAATATAGATAGTTATGCTCTTAGCTATGGATGAATTCCAGTTTGAAACTCTCTATAGAACAGCATCTGAAAATCAGCTCTGCAGGATAAAATGGAAGAAGATGATGTTAATTCCTGGCATGGACTCTAAACCTAGAATGTCCCTATTTCAGGGCAAAAACCACTACAATGTTGTTTTCCCACCCAATTTCAATAAGGACCTTCTTTACCCTCCCTCGCATCCCTGGGATTTGTTTCACCTTCTTTCATCTTCCCAGAGTGTACTTCTCTGCCTTGTCCTCCTGGGTAATTCTCCTTCTTCGTTTGTCTCTCCTGTGGGGGTCTAGCTTTCAATATATGGGCTTAGCTCATAGTGAGCTCCCTGCATGCAGTGAGGACTTAGTAGCCATTCTTAACTGACTGCTTGAATGCATGAAGTGTGTTTGGCATATTGTTGAGACTTAAAATTTGAGGCAAAAGAATGAGATGATAAAACCTGCATGCTTTTGGGAAGGGAGCCACCATTATCTAAACCTATTTAAGGAGCACGTCCTTGGTCTGTTTTCAGTCCCAACATATCGCTCCTCTCATCTTCTTGCTGTGAGCTCCCCAAAGTGTCCCTTGTGTGTATGAGAGTCTGGAAACTACCAGAGCCAGGTACTAGCTATACCAGGTGTCTAAACCAGAAATACCTATAGGAGACAATAGTGTTGCTTAATGAGGGAAAAGGATCTGTGTGCAAGACAATAGTGGTGAGGATTGTAGTAATCTGGAAGGAGCATTCTGGATATAACCTCAGATGGGTCTGATTGGAATATATTGAAGAAGCTTAAATGTAAGAAATTATACTTGTGTGGTCAAATAAATGCATTATTACCAGAAGAGGGTGTGTGTAGCAATTACAAAAGAAGAGGTAACAGGTAAAAATATGTTCCTGAGTCCACCACCGGCCAGAGGAGGGGACACTGAGTCTTTATCTGGAGCATCTGGTCTACTCCACAGACACATATGTCCTCTTTGGGAAAATAGATGTATTAGGTTATCATAGACTAGAATAGGAAATAATTATGTAACTCACCCCCTTATTCTAGTTTCTCACCCAGCAAGCAATTTTTAGATTGCAGTTTTGGCTTCCCATATGGATTTTTTAATAGGAGACCACCCAAATGAATATTTGTCTATTCAGTAATCAAATTTCTCATGAAATCCTGCTAAAATGGTTATATACGTCTATTGTGTTATTTTCATAAAATAAAACACTATACAGCAGTAAAGATAAATGAAGGAGAGGTATTTGTAAACATATGGATAAATCTTAAAAACAAAATTAAAGAGGAATACAAGTTGCAACAAATACATATAGTATGATGCCATTTCTATAAGGTGATAAACATGTATAAAATAGAACATTTAGGAGAATGGTTACCTCAATGAGGAATGGAGGACATGGTGGCAAGCATGTGATAAGTCAGACATATATCAGAGATCTCAATTGTAAGTTGACTATTTAATATCTTAACCTCGTTGATGGGTACACAGTGTTCATATTTGTATTTTTAATATATGGCATATATTTATAGTAAACCAAACCAAACAACAGCAACTGGAACAATTTTATAAAAACCTATAAAAGGAATTTAGCATTTATACATCAGTCCCTTGGGAGTTTGGCTAGTATTATTCCATTCTCCCACGGTTTCCATTTCAGCAAAACTGAGGACAAGGTCCTAGAAGACAGCTCCAACACCAATATGCTTCTTCTGTGCAGTTAAGATATTACCTCTGTCTGCTCAAACCCAAAGCATGTGAATGATCCATTAGAGCGAGCAGAAAAAAATTTTTTTCTAAGATTTTATTTATTTATTTGACAGACAGAGATCACAAGTAGGCAGAGAGGGAGGCAGAGAGAGGAGGAAGCAGGCTCCCTGCTGAGCATTGAGCCCAATGTGGAGCTCGATCCCAGGACCCTGGGATCATGACCTGAGCCGAAGGCAGAGGCTTTAACCCACTGAGCCACCCAGGCACTCAGAAATGTTTAATCTTGACAGTGTAAAGAAAAATTAGCAATAAGGTGCCAGAGGATTCTGGAGAGTAAACTCTCTAGGCAAAAGGTTCCAGCGACTTCATTTTAGGAAGCTGATGGGTTTATTTCAAACTACCTTAGACATCACCTTTCTCTAATAATATTAAATTTTTGGAAACATTTTAAATACATATAACACTTTAAAATCTAAATATTATATTGTTAACAACACCTCATCACTTACAAAAGTGATTTTTCTAAGCTTTTCTACCTGATTCTGTTTCGTACACTTGTTGACTCTCATTGGCACTGTCTGCTGGCAGAATATGTTACAGGTTTGCTAATAATTTCATATTTCTATTATCCCCACTAAAACCCTAGGTCCAGGGCTCTGAACACTTTCAGTAGTTCAAAAAAAAATTGCCTCAGACACTCTAGAATTAACCATTTAATTAATATAAGTAATCCAATAGAACCTAATTGATAGACTTACCATTGAGAGTGCTTCTATCAATCAAATTAGTATCAACTGGCCAATAACCTCCATCTCCATGACGACCTGTTTGTTGGGAAAACACAAGAATGTTAGGGATACAGAGATTGAAAGCACTGTGAGAGAAAACAGACAGAAATAATAAATATTTTAAAACACACAAACAATTGAACAAGTTGTTTTGGCCACCACAGAGAAAGGCTCAGAATATTAATTCCAGTACACTTTGTGAGAAAATGTTATTTTCTGTGTGTGACAAAAATCTCATGAATAGACTCTTTTAAACAAGCTAAATTCAATTCCTCTCTGAAATGTCGTCTGCCCTCTTTTTTTGTTTTTTCCCAACCTTCTTGCAAAAAGTGTCCCCAGTTTTCCTGATCATCTCAGAACAGAAAGGGTGCTGGTCATGGCCCCTAGAGAGGTAGAGCCCCCCAAAGTCATCTGATATGACTTTGTGGCAAATTAGCATTATTACTTTACAGCACATTTTGTCTTATAAATGGGTTTTGAGCAGTCCTTGTGGTATGTGCCAAACAGGTGTCTGGGAATGAGGTATTAGATAAGGAGTAAAGAATGGGGTTATGGCACCACACAAATACCTGTTCTGAATATTTCTTACAAACACAGCAGGGAAGGAAGAAGGCTTCTTTAGTATCACATTACTGGAAAAACTGCTTTCCAGTAGGCGTGCAACCGTTGTAAAAGCAGTCTTTAAGAGCACTGAGCCAGGAAATAACCAGAATTGTACCATGATCCAAATTTAATTAATGGTGATTCACCACAGGTAATACCTTTTTCTACTGGCACATTTGTAGACCTATAATTATTTTGTTAGATTCTGAATTCTAGAATATCTGTTAGGCTGACAATTATAGGAACACATTTGGGAGTTGAATTTATATGCAAACACATACAAGAATACAGCTAATATTCCATTTATTCACTTTGGAGAGTTCCCTC